TTTCGAGGGCTGCTGGCGGGTCCTGCGGACTGAAGCACCGCGGGGATCTGAGCGATATCTCGCAGTCCCTGGGGGGGCTGCGATCTGCGACGCTGTCGCCACTTTCGAGGGCTGCTGGCGGGTCCTGCGGACTGAAGCACCGCGGGGATCTGAGCGATATCTCGCAGTCCCTGGGGGGCAACGGTCTGCGACGCTGTCGCCACTTTCGAGGGCTGCTGGTGGGTCCTGCGGATTGGGGCACCGCGGGGACCTGAGCGAGACCTCGCCGTCCCTGGGGGGCTGCGGTCTGCGACGCGAGGGCTGCTGGTGGGTCCTGCGGACTGAGGCGCCGCGGGGATCTGAGCGAGACCTCGCCGTCCCTGGGGTGCTGCGATTTGCGACACTGTCGTCACTTTCGGGAGCTGCTGGTGGGTCTGCGGACTGAGGCGCCGCGGGGATCTGAGCGAGACCTCGCCGTCCCTGGGGGCTGCGATCTGCGACGCTGTCGCCACTTTCGAGGGCTGCTGGTGAGTCCTGCGGACTGAGGCACCGCGGGGATCTGAGCGAGTCCTCTCCGTCCCTGGGGGGCTGCGATCTGCGACGCTGTCGCCACCTTCGAGACCGGCTGGAAGGTCCAGCGGAGTGAGGCACCGCGGGGACCTGAGCGAGACCTCGCCGTGATCTGCGATGCTGTCGCCACCTTCGGGGACTTCTGGTGGGTCCTGCGGAGTGAGGCACCGCGGGGACCTGAGCGAGACCTCGCCGTCCCTGGGGGGGCTGCGTTAGTAACCACTACGACGCCATTACATCTTGATCGGGGGCCTGCGAGTCTTCCGATGGCTGCTCGCAAAATCACAAGCGTCCATGTTACGTCATTGCCCCCGGTGTAGCAATCCTGATGTATGCATGCCCCGCATTGCGCAAGGGTTGGGTACGTCGTCAGGGTAATCTGCAAGGGACTCTTGGAACTCATGATATGTGATAAACGAGTGCGCTCGCATAGTATTCTTGCGCAAGAAAAAGTGGCGGGGGGGGGGGGGGCGATACCGGCCCCCCTGGGATGGTGTAGACTCATATTTCGGATGGACGATGGGGCAAACATATATGCAAATTGCAATGCGAAAAAGGGGGTCTTTACCCCCGGGGGGGTTGCAATTCATTTAGACTGTCTTGAAGCTGTCCTCTCCACTGCTCATGCAAACATCCCACCCTCCCACCCGCGAATTGGTCGCAAGACTTCTTAAGACCGTGACGGTGGGTATCAAATGGCACTTGGCAACGACAGCGACGCCGACGACGACAACGACAATGACGACGAAGACGCCGACGACGACGACTACGACGACACCGACGACGTCTCCGACGACTTCGACGACGACGACGACGACGACAGCGACACCGACGACGACGACGACGACGGCTACGACGCCGACGCCGACGACGACGCCGACGACAACGATGCCGACGACGACAACGGCGACGACGACGCCGACGACGATGACGACGACGACGCCGACGACGACGACGAAAACGACGACGACGTCGCCAACGAAGACGACGCCGACGACGAGGACGAGGGAGGAGGGAGGACGACGACGGCGACAACGACGACAATGACGAGGGAGGAAGGAGACGGCGACGACGCGAACGACGAAGGAGGGAGGACGGCGACGCCGACGACGACACCGACGAGGAAGGAGGGAAGACGACGACGACGACGACAACGACGACGAAATAGGAGGGACGACGACGAGACGCCGACGACGGACGACGACGACGACGACGACGACGACGACGATGGAGGAGGGAGGACCACGGCGACGCCGACGCCGACGACGACGACGCCAAACAGGACGACGTCGTCCTATTTGTTGTAAAAGATTCTCGCGACGGCACGCGCGCAAGGGCGTTCGAACGATTTCGACACGCGCGCGCGAAGCCCGTTTGGTAGTATGAAGTGAAAATGTTGAAAAACCTATGGTTTTGTAAAGATTCCGCAGGTGCGTGCGTGTAAATTTGTTTCTGAAATCAGCGCTGCGTTTTGGAAGCTCGATCTGGAAATCCTTCCGAAACCGATGGTTTTTGAAGGTATTCGGCATGCGTGCGCGACGACGCGCGCGTGTGCACTTCGTGCAAGGGAATTTTGAAAACTTCTGATGTCTTATAAACGAGTACGCGCGCATCGAATTTGAACAAATTTGTTGCAGAGGATCGCGGGGGGGGGCGATACCGGCCTGGCTGGGATGGTACGAGTTCATAGTTCGGATGGACGATGTTGCAATATCAAATGTAAATTGCGTTACGAAAAAAGGGGATCGTTAACTCCGGGGGGGTGGATTTTTTTGCAAAAAAGAGAATCAATCACTTGCTCAACTTGAAGTTCTCCACCCCACTGCTCGCGTAAACATCCCACCCACCCGCAACTTGGTTTGCAAACCCAATGCGGAAGCGATTGCGATGAGTGCTTGGTGTTGGCTGGTGCATTTCTGCGGCCGTGCTACCCCGCGGATGCTCGCGCGCGCAGCGGCCAGCTAGTTTGGCGTGACCGACGCGAACGCGGTGGCGCTGACTGCACGGCACATTCCAGCGGGCACTTCAGTGCGAGTCGGCGACTTGGGCGGGCGCGGTATCATGGCAACGTCGACGACGGTAGACACGATGATGCTATTAGCGATGTTGGTGACGATGCTGTCAGCGACGACGGGGCAGCCAGTGACGGCGCCGATGCTGATCACGCCGACGACGATGACAGCGTCTTCGCGTCGGTGATGAAGGTTTTGGAAGGAATTCGACATGCGCGCGGGGCAAACGCGCGAGAGTGGCCCGCAGGTATGATTTGACACGGACCGTGCCACTCCAGCGCGCGCGCAAGGGCGTCCGAACGATTTCGACATGCGCGCGCGCGAAGCTCGTTTGGTCGCATGTTCGGGAAGTGTTGAAAAACCTGTGGCTGTCTTAAGAATTCGCAGAAGAACGCGCGCGCACGTTTTTTTTGAATTCCGTGTTGCGGAAGTCTGTGTTTGTTTGAATGTTTTCTGGGCCGTCGATTTTGAAATCCTTCCGGAACCGAAGATTTGTTTTAAGGATTTCGGCATGCGCGCGCGACGACGCGCGCGCGTGCACTTAGTTTTTTGGTTTTTCTCTCTTTGCAAGGGATTCTTGGAGACTTATGATTTTGATAAACGAACGTGCGCGCATAGTATTTGTTGCAGAGGATGGCGGGGGGGGGGGGGGCGATACCGGCCCCGGTGGGAGAATGTAAACTCAGGATGGACGACGGGCCAAAATCACATGTAAATTGCATTACGAACAGGTAGATCTTTAACCCCAGGGGGGAGGGTGGTAGAACCTATCTCTTTTTCTAAAAAGAAGCATCCACGTGGTGCAACCGATGTTGCGCAATATAACCGCCGCCCCCATCTGGATGCCCCGCTTGCCGAATTCTTTAATGTCCGAAGCCATTTTAATAAAAAGCAGGATGAAGACCATGTAGTAAGAGGTTTGGGATACGGTGTAAGATGGTGCATCTTCCAGGTGCGTGATCAAGTCCCTTTTTCCAATGCTATAGTGGGCCGCAAGATCCTCTAGCGGTCCAGGCAAATTGGGCGCTGGCACCTTGAGCCAGACGCCGGCGGCACGCTCGCTATGCTCGCTATACATATGCCCGTCTGAACCCCCTATTTCAAAATATTTTTACATGTTCCCCAAAACTAGCGGCCTCGGCCGATCCCGCCCGCCACTGGGGAAAGAGCCGCAGACCGACCCATCAAATGGTCGGTCCAGCGGTGCTCCCGCTCCAGACGACCCCGAGAATGGCCTCCAAGAGGGCCACGATGGCCTCCAAGATGGCCTCCAAGATGCCTCCAAGACGGCGAAGATGGCCCCAAGACGGCCTAGGGTGCCCTCCAGATGGCCCAGGAGGCGCCCAAGACGCTGCAAGAGCGCTCCAAGAGGACCTCTCGGAGGCCAAACTTTAATCTCTGTGGCGTTCTGGCCATTTCGGGCTTCCGGCGATCCAAGGCCGCCCCATACGCCCCAAAGATCGCCCCAAGACGGCCCAAAATGCCCCCCAAATGCCCGCAAGACATCCCAAAACGGCCCCGATACGGCCAAAGAAATTCCCAAGATAGCCCAAGACGCCCAACGACTGCATAGAGGCCCCCGCGCCAAAAGATCGCTCACAAGGCCCATCGAAGGCCCCCAGGTCCCCAAGATGCCCCAAGAGGCCCCGTAAGAGGCCCCTCCTACATATAATCCCCCAAGGAAGCCAGGACCCCCCCCAGGAAGCAACAAGACGGCCTCAAGAGGCCTTCATTTCCCCTCAATCCTTCTTCTACTCGCCCTGCTTCTCACTCTTATCCTCGTCACTCTTTGTCTCTCAGGTGCTCCACCAGGGGGGTCCACAACGGCTTGGGGGGGGGGGCACATCCTCCAATAGTTCCGCCAGACTTTGGCCCGACGTTTGGCCGAATGTGCGCTTCCAAAGAGCAGGAGGCGGCGGTGGTTTGCCGTACACCCTGCGAAATGCTTAAGAAATCATGGATTAAGAAATTCATAATCTCAGAATCTGAATAAAAAACCAGAACTTCTATTAAAATCTTGGGATTTACATTGAAGCATTAAGAATAATCGAGACTCTGGCCGAAAACTTAAGTTTTCTTAAGCATCGCCGAGGGTGTAGGCGTCTTCAAAAACGAAATGGCACTGGCCGGCGCAACCCTGCTCCGTCTTCCCCAGCCGCCCACCGACCGCCCAGGCAACAACCTGGCGCCTCCAGGTCGAGGCGCGCTGCCACCAGACCACTCCAGGGGAGGGTATTTTTCGACACCCCTCACGAGGATCGTGGCCTCCGAGGGGGGAGCCGCAATCGACTACCCCCAAGAGCCCCCCAAGAGGCCCTGGGGGCCTCCAAAACGCCGCCAAGGAGCCCCAAGACACTCCCAAGAGGTCCCCAAGAGGCCCCCAAGAGGCCCTAAAGAGGGCTCCAGGGCCGGCGGCATGAGCGAAGCGATTAAATAAACACAACTTGCGGATCAACCGCAACAGGTGGTGCCTCTCCACGATGACCGCGAGCGCATCGAAGAGGCGACCCGCGACCGCGTACAAACTGAGATCGAAAGGGAGCTCCTCGGCCCCGTGGTCCACAAGTGGCCGCCCGAGCCCGACCAGTCCGCCTGCAGCAGAGACAGGCGCCAGAGTACTACCGTCAACATTGATAGTCAGGATGCGCGATCAGTATGCAAGCCCCTTGGACGCCCGCGCCAAAGCTTTTCAAGCGAGACTGGCCGTCGCACGCGGTTAAGGATGGGCCGAAGAGGCAAAAGTGCAAGGATACCCTTGGGAAGGCTACCCATGGTTATCAACTGTCTCGACCGTACCATCACGTTGTGCACCCGTTGCGGCCAGCATCCGAAGCGCCACGCGCAGCGCGCTGCCGCAGCCTCGTTCCGCGGGATGGCGGCGGCGAGCGCCCCGAGAGGCGACAGACGTCACGTGCCCGCCGCCGCGGCCACCGCGGCCACCGGCAGGGCGGCGATCCCCGCGCGCCCCTCGCACGGCCGCAGGAAGCGCGGCTCCAGGAGCACGCAGGGATCACTCGCGCTCACGGGGTCGTCGAGCCTCACGCAGAACCCGCCACCGTGCCTGCACGATGTGGGCGTGTTGGAGTGCCGAGTGCTGCCCTGCCAGGATTCTGTGCTCTAGCAAGGCCCCCGCCTCGACCCGCGGACGGGCGCACGCAGACCCCTCGTAGCAAGACTCTGGTGCCGCGCTCCCGGAGCCACGATCCCTCGTAAAACGACGCTGTGGCCGCGTCCCGAGCTGCCAAGACGGCCCATGCAGGCAGCCAGGGCAGGCGAGATGGTCAACGATGACTCGAAGACGAGCCAGGATGGCCCCAAGGCGGCCGAATATGGGCACACGACGGCCCAAGATGCCTCCAAGAGGGCCCAAGAGGGCCTCCAGCAGGGCCCAAAGAAGCCACCATAGCTGATGTCCCTCAAGTTTTGCTGTTGATTGTCGCACTCTTGCCTTCTCGGGCTTCCGCCAGCTCAGGGCGGCCCATGACATCGCCACGATGGCCCGAAGACGGCCCTAGGCGCCTCCGCGAGGGCCCCAAAATTACCCCAAAGGACCCAACGAATGCCCAAAAGGAACCCCAAACTGCCCCAAAGTGGCCCCCGAGCGCCTCCCGCAAGACCCAAGACTGCCTCAGAAAGCCCTTCGACTGACCAAGACGGCTCCAAGACGGCCCACTGGCACCCACTATACTGCCACGAGGGCCCCAAAACTGCCCAGGAAAGCCCCCAAACGGCCCAAAAAGGCCCCGGCACTGCCAAAGAGGGCCCCAAGGGACCCCCACAACTGCCTCACAGGAGGCCAAGACGGCCACACGACGGCCCACACGAGTTACAGGAGAGCTTCTCAAATACATAGTGATCAGAAGACGATCGTGTAAACTCGTTAACGAGAATGCATAGTTGCGAAAAGATCTGATGTACGATCTGTGTAGATATCAGATAAATTACTAGAGCTTCTCAAATACATAGTGATCATGTAAATGCCATACAGGCCGATCTAGTGAAGACGAGCGCTGCCAACTATGACAGCCTTCCCCCCCCTCCTCCTCCTCCTCCTCCTCCTCCTCCTCCTCTGGTTCCTCCTCCCCCTTCCCGTCATCATTATCAACGCTATCACTACCAACATCGTCATCACCATCAGCAACAACATCCTCATCAGCATCCTAATTACCATCATCATCACCACCATCATCCTCATCATCACCATCATCATTACCGTCGCCATCACCATCACCATCACCATGACAATCACCATCATCATCAACATCATCGTCGTCAACATCATCATCAGCAGCAGCAGCGACATCTGTGTCATTATCATTATCAACATGGTCGTCACCAACGTCATCATCGTAACCATAATCAGAATCATCACCGGAATCAACATCAGCATCACGGCTCTTCCAAGATTGAACAACACGAGGTGTTGCGCGTGACACCCTCCCATATCCCCTCGAACAGTCGCCGCCCAGAATACTGGGCTGGCACGGTTGCGGGACTTGCCGCAGACAGCTGGATCCGCCGCCCCCTGTTGGCTTGCCACAGGGGTGCCCGGCGTGTTGAATCCTCTCGGTTTTGGTTTTAGTTCTTTTCCCAAAGAGCTCCCCCTGGGGCTTCGGCGTGTCCCGCCAGTCACCCGGAAAGGAGCTCAATTTCCAAATGTTTCGCTCAAGATGGCTAAAGATGGCCTCCAAGATGGCCGCGTTCGCCCAAGATGGCCTCCAAGATGGTCCAAGATGGCCTCCAAGTCCGCCCAAGATTGTCCAAGACGGCCTCCAAGACGGCCCACGAGAGTCCGAGACGGCCCAAGAGGCCCCCCAGAGGCATCCAAGACGGCCCAAGAGGCCTCGAAGAGGTCCTCCAGGAGGGCCCGAAGAGACCTTTTCCTGCGGTTTTCGACGGATTTTGGCATTCGTTTCTTCTCGGCTTTCCGACGACCCAAGACGGCGCAAAAGGCCCCCAAGATCGCCCCCACAGCCAAGAGGCCTCCAAGATGGCCTCAGGACTGCCCAAGATGCCCCCAAGGCGGCCCCAAGAGGGCACAAAGACGACCCAAGAGGCCTCCAAGACGCGAAGATGGCCTCTAAGACGGCCCTGGAGTACCCCAAGAGGGCCCCAAGTCGGCCCAGAAAGGCCCCTAAACGGCTTCCGACGGCGTCAGAAGGGCCAGGAGTCCACCAAGATGGCCGAAGTTGGCTCGAAGCTGGCCCAAGACTGGCCAAGAGGCCTCCAAGAGCGTCTCCAGGAAGTCCAGAAAAGGCCAAAAACACTGATTTTCCCTAGGTGTTTGGAGGATGTTGACATTTGCTTCGTTTCGGCCTTCCGACGGCCCGATACGGCCCAAGAGCCCCCAAAGATCGCCCAAAGATCGCCCAAGAGGCCTCCAAGATGGCCCCAGAACGGCCCAATAGGCCCCCAAGACGGCCCCAAGAGGCCCCCAAGACGGCCCAGGAGGCTTCTAAGACGCCCAAGGTGGCCTCCAAGACTGCCCTAGAGCATTCCAAGAGGGCCCCAAGTCGGCTCAGAGAGGCCCCTCAAACTGCTTCTGACGGCGTCGGACGGGCCAGGGGCCCACCAAGACGGCCGAAGATGGCACTAAGATGGCCCAAGACGGCCCAAGAGGCCTCCAAGAGGGCCTCCAGCAAGGCCCGAAAAAGGCCAAAATCATTGGTTCCCCATGAGTGTTTGAAGGATTGTGGCACTTGCTTTTTGTTCCGCCTTCCGACGGCCCGAGACGGCCCAAGTGACCCCAAAGATCGCCCAAGAGGCCCAAGACGGCCCCAAGAGGCCCCAAAGACGGCCCAAGAGGCCTCCAAGACGCTCAAGATAGCCTCCAAGACGGCCCAAGAGCCCTTCAACACGTCCTCCAAAAAGGCCCGAAATTGTTAAAATGGCCTCCAGGCAGCCAAGATGACCTTCAAGATGCCCACGTGTTCCCCGAAGGCTTTCCAAACCGATTCGGGGAACACATGGTCCGATAGCTTGGCAGGTCTGGCCTCAACGTTCGGCCACATAGGCGCTTTCAAAAAAGCAAGGGGCTGCGGTGATTCGCCGTAGGCGTCTTCGATCCGCCGCCCCCGGCTGATTCATCACAAGGGTGTCTGGCGTGCTAGATCCCTTCGGTTTTGGTTTTGGTTCTTTTTCCAAAAGAACTCCCTCTGGGGCTTCGGCGCGTCCCGCCGGCCACCCGAAAGGGTGACGTTCAAAATGCGTCCAAGACGGCCTCCAAGACGGCTACGATGGCCCCAAGATGCCTCCAAGACGGCCCAAGATGTACCCAAGATGGCGTAAGATAGCCTCAAGATCCTCCAAGAGGGCCCAAGAAGCCTCCAAGAGGTCCCCCAGAAGGGGCCGAAGAGGCCAAAATCCTTGATTTGCGTTAGGTTGTTGAAGGATTGTGCCATTTGCTTCTTTCCGGCCTTCCGACGGCTCAAGACGGCCCAACTGACCCCCACGATCGCCCCAAGATCGCCCAAGAGGCCTCCAAGATGGCCCCATGACGGCCCAAGAGGCCCCCAAGACGGCCCCAAGAGGGCCCCAAGACGGCCCAAGAGGCCTCCAAGACCCCCAAGATGGCCTCCCAGACGGCTAAGATGGCCCCAAGACGCCTCCAACACGGCCCAAGATGCACCCAAGACGGCCTGAGATGGCCTCCAGATGGCCTCAGACGGCCCAAGAAGCCCCCAATCTCGTGTCGCTCTCGACGGGGTTACTCGTCAGAGTTCTTGAAATAGTCGATGACAAAGAAATCAACCTCAAATGAACGAATGTTGGAAATGAGAGTGTCTCTTTTCCTCGTGGCTGGTGCCAGGGGCTGGTTCACCAGCCGAATCAAACCACAGTTCGATATGTAAACCGCACACAGAAAACTCGAGCACTAAATAGAAGTACGGGAAGCGGGTCTCCGGCAAGCCTTCAGGGCAACTTCCGAAATCTCGTTCCGAAACCCGATTTCTACGACACGGGGGGTTTAGTGCTCCCCTTCAGCGCATCGAAAACACTTCTAAACCAGAGACTAGGCGACAGGGCACAGATGAAACAGAAGCGGCAAAGAAGGAATGTTCACCTTGACTCACGGTCATCATCCTCTGGATTTCTCCCTGTTCTTCTGAAAAATTGCTCTCGACATCTGGGCCACGAAAGTCTGGAACCACCGGGGGTCACTCCGAACTCTCGAGAACATCCAGGGTGTCCTTCTTAAGAATCCACCTTTTCTTGGTTGACGTGAAGCTCGGACCCTGCACCAAAGCCCACTGCTGCTTGGCGTAGAAGTTGAGTGTGACCTGCAGAGCTGGACTCTCCATCTTAGTCAGGCCGTCGGCAATCATTGCCGCGGAATGTACCCAGCGCAGTGTAGTGTTGGCGGCCTTCATGCTCTGTTTCAGCGCTAGTGCCTCGATAGCCGACCTCTGGTCGTTGCATCCGTAGCCCGAAGAACACGCCCGAACCACACAGTCGTACATCGCCTTGCAGTCCGTCGCCAGGGTGCCGTCCACGAGCTTCAGGTTGTCGTTGATCTGGTGGTAGGTGGTCGCCTTCCCGGTCGTCCTCTCGTACCAAGCCAGTCTCGCGTACTCCTGAGCCTCGTTCGCCATTGTGCCCATCTGTATCTCGGCGTTCAGAGAGCTTCTGGCCACACGGGGTAGTTTGCGAGAAGCACCTTGAATAACTGAAACTGCCGCCTTGTGACCATCCAAAATCTTGCGCTCAGCCATAGCCACGATCATGCCTCCTTGAGAAACCTCCAGCTTTGCGAACCTTCCAGGCTGCATCGTGCCAGGTGACAAAGATCGGGTCCTCCATGGGGGTGAACTTAATGTTGATCCCAGCGGTCTCGTGAGCTGTGTGAGTGAACTTGTTGATCTTCTTGATGGTGGCCATGGATCCGGTAGGAACTTCACCTCCTAGGATACTCGTCTCGCCAGCTAGCCATGCCATCCCTTGCGAAGCCAGAAACATGGTGCTGCCCAGTGCTGCTCGACATTTAGTCTTGAGTCGATCGCTCAGCACTGTGTCATCCCTCTGCCTGGCCTCGTCCTTGCTCAACTCGATGTGTTCCACCTT